GTATACAATGGCTCGTGTGCACTATAAAGAACCCAGTACATCCTTCGAGATGAGTAGGGGGATACCCCGGTGTACTGAAAAAGACAGCCCCTGTGGTGGACGACGAGAGTTGCTGGTACCAGGTTACTAGGTAGCACAGACACGATGGGACCGTTAGGGGCGAAGACAGTTATTGATCGAGTTCCTAGTCCACATTTCAAGCGCCCTGAGCATCTTACATTAGATGGATTTGTGCGCTATATAAAACTACACTATTATTATTTATTATTATTTATATATACATACACACACACGCACACACACACACACACACACACATATATATATATATATATACATATATATATATACACACACACACATATATACATATATAGATTATATAAATACAAGAAACAAAAGAAAAAAAAAACAAAAAGGGAAATTAAATGAGATTTTTGAAGGATTGTAAGGAAAGTGAATGAATATTGCTACGAAGGTCTGATGATAGATTATTCCATAATTTAACAGAACGATATTTAAATGTTCTTTTTCCAAAATCATTTCGCCATTGTGGTAAGACTAAAGTGTTTTTCAATTTACTTCTTGTGTATACCTTAATATTTTAAAGAAGCTAGTGTCCTTGAGCAAGACACTTTTTCTACATTGCTTCAGTTTACGCAGCTGTATTATCGGGTACCCGAAAATTACTGGGAGTAAACGGTACACCAACGTCCCAGCCAGGGGTAGCATGCTCTCATCCGCTTAACACTACTTGAACTTGGGATAAACTCCAGCCCATATGGGCCCCGTGGCTCTGCAAGGATTCACTACTTAAGTATAATAGTATAATAACTATTTAAAAATTTATTCTCATGTTACCTCAGATGATACCTCTGATCAACTTTGGAGTTTAGAGAAGGTGCAGGCATATTTTACATTGGTAACATCTGTGGAGCCTACTATGACAGAAGATGCAACAATGTGAGTAGAATTATTTCAGAAGTAAATATGAAAAAAGCTGCTAGACTTAAAACAATATCACAGAAAAGATATAAGATATGTAAATATGTATTATTAGTTTAATTTTTCACTCAGACTTGGATTGTGAACCCTCATTGAGGGCTTCAAAGTGCTGGTAAACAAAGCGGTGAAGTGGGTTTTTTCTGCTTAATTTTTCCTGGTTGTTGGACATTTCATGGGATAATTTCCATGCTCCAAGTTACAGTTTTTTCATGCTTCATCTCCAGCATCTTGAGCACTTTTTTGAATGTTTAAAAAGGGGTGGGGGTGGGTGGAATAATGGGTGGTTAAGCCCCTTTTCCCCCAGATTTTAAATATTTAAGAATCTGTACCTCATTAATTTTTCCCCAGCTTGTTGAAATATTGATATAATAACATGGTTGTATCTTATTGATAATTATTATCAAGCTCAACGCAAGGCAGATCAACAAAATGCGGCACGTACAACGATACGTTTACTGGAGAGCATGGTTCGTTTGTCACAAGCTGACGCCAGGCTTATGTATCGAGATGAAGTGCGAGTTTGCGATGCAGTCGTAGCCGTCAGTGTGATGGAGTCGAGCATGTATGGGGCTGCATTACTGGGAGGAATCAATGCATTGCATACATCCTTCCCAGAAGACCCAGAACAAGAATACAAGGTGCAGGGTAAGTTTTGTAGTACAGTAGAACCTCATAAAATTTAAAATAAATTTAATTAAAATTGTAGTAATGTTGGTAGCACCCTCTAGAGCCCTACTTCTCAAACTATGGTTTGGCACCTAAATTTGGGTCACCAAAACATTTCCAATGGTTACGAGACTGCTTCAGACTTTAAAAAAAGACAGTCTTTGGTAAAGCACATTTCAAAACATAGTAGAAAATACTTCTACATAGCCATTCTACAAAGAACTCAAATCGAAAGATTCACCCACAAGTCGTAGCTATATAGACTAAGGGTTAAAATTCATTGTCAACCCAAAACCTAGAGTCTACTCTCGTGGTTACACTGTTGCCAATCTCTTCGGGGATTGATAAGATCATTAAAATCAGGCAGGAACATAGTTTATGAAAAATGATTAGTTGCTTCTTTTTGTAAGGGTTGGGGACGTACAAAATACAATTATTATTTACCCAGTCAACCTTGCCATACTATATAATGGAACATTCCGCACATGGATGTTGATAACAAAACATCTTGGAGTAAATATAAATTTTTTTTTAATTATTCCAGCCCTGTCTCTTATACACATCTAAAGTGGACAGTGCATGCAATCTTGCATTTCATAGATTTGGCCCTTACTAAGATGTTTGCTATACAGAGATGATGTAACACAGAAGTCACTGCTTGGTTGCAAGCTCAAATTCTGCCAGAGACACTTTCTTTGGTACAACTGAAACAGGGACTTTTTATTGAAGATGGTTGTATCTGATTGATAATTATTATCAAGCTCAACGCAAGGCAGATCAACGAAATGCGGCACGTACAACGATACGTTTACTGGAGAGCATGGTCCGTTTGTCACAAGCTGACGCCAGGCTTATGTATCGAGATGAAGTGCGAGTTTGCGATGCAGTCGTGGCCGTCAGTGTGATGGAGTCGAGCATGTATGGGGCTGCATTACTGGGAGGAATCAATGCATTGCATACATCCTTCCCAGAAGACCCAGAACAAGAATACAAGGTGCAGGGTAAGTTTTGTAGTACAGTAATTTTAATTGTAAAATTTAAAATAAATTTAATTAAAATTGTAGTAATGTTGGTAGCACCCTCTAGAGCCCTACTTCTCAAACTATGGTTTGGCACCTAAATGGTTACACTGTTGCCAATCTCTTCGGGGATTGATAAGATCATTAAAATCAGGCAGGAACATAGTTTATGAAAAATGATTAGTTGCTTCTTTTTGTAAGGGTTGGGGACGTACAAAATACAATTATTATTTACCCAGTCAACCTCGCCATACTATATAATGGAACATTCCGCACATGGATGTTGATAACAAAACATCTTGGAGTAAATATAAATTTTTTTAAAATTATTCCAGCCACGATGTATTTGACTTAGCCGAGGTTAAATTTATTTGATGATATATGCTTTGGGTCGCCAAAAAACAAAGAGTCTAAAAGAAGCAGGGCTGTAGAGTACACATATTCGCACTTCAATATATATGGCATTTCTAGGTGTTTTAGCATCTAATTATTTGAATTTTTTCTTATCAATGAATCTATGTTTCTTACTAATACTACATTTTTAGGATGGAGTTTTGCGCTGAAGTATTACATTATCAATGTTCACTTTGGAAAAGCATTCATGATTGGATTGCTTGTACCTGCTAAAGAACAAAAGATATTTAGATAATCCCAACAGCACCCTCTAGTGTCCAAAATGTGTAAAAAACTTAATTTTTGTACCAATATAGAGAAATTAAAACAATCTAATTATGAAAATATCTTTATTGAAAATAAAAAAAATAAAATTGTGTTTTAAAAGTTCATTAAAATTACATGCCAGAAAGTACAGTACTAAATATAGAGGTTAGCTGGTAGTGTATATAGTTAAAGTTTGTGAAAATCATCTTCTTTTGATCTTTCAGCTGAGATGATCTTGACGCATTTAGAGCTGCATGACATCTTATCTGTAGAGATGGAACGACTCTCACGCCAAGAATCTGAAGGAAAAGAATGTTTGTTGCGAAAAAATGAAAGCATTCTGGAACAAAAAGCTATAACCATACTTGATAACAGCAACGAACACGAAAGCATGCAGGAACAAGGTACAGTGAACTTACTTGATAACAGCAACTTTAATGAAAGTATACAGGAGCAAGACACGGTAAACTTATTTGATACCAGTGAAGAAAATGAATTTAATGAATCCTTACGCAGTTCACATGATCGTTCAGACATTGGAAGTGCAGAACACAAAAAAAGACTGATAGATACAGATGGAAATAAAGAGGACAACGTTCTGGTAGCTGTTACCAATGAAAACTCATTACGTAAATGTCAAAAGGATTCCATCGAAAATGATGCACAAAAGGATTCCACCGAAAATGATGCATGTGATTGCTCTACTGATGGCACAGATGATTTTCTTGCAAACGTTGCTCAAGAAGTTTTTAATGAGATTAAAGAATCATCGAAATCAACATTAACTAATGAAGACGAAACCATTTCTCAGATTAATGATACAGTCTTAATTGATTCTCAAAATTGTTGACAAGTCAAGATAAAAATTCAGCCCATAATGTTGGTGATAAGACGTCACATGATTCAAACGGCAAGAAGAAACGAACCGCTGAGGGCATGCTACACATGCAGCCAGCAGAAAAGAAAAGCAAAGCCATGTTAATTAGCGAGAAAACTGAATGCATTCAGTTTTAGTAACTCATAAATGTAATTCTGAAGGCCCTCAAAACAAAAAACAAAATGCAAAATCCTTTAGCAAACCAAAACCAAAAAATCATTCTCCAGCCTCATCTCAAATATTCACAACTGACGACTGCCTTGATGAATTAGATTTAAGTGATTTATGAAACAACTAATATATAAATTAGGTATGCTGCGCATCGCCATAAATGCAAAATACAGTTACATGTACATAACATGTTAATCATATCAAGAATAGCTCTTCAATAAAAAGTCCCTGTTTCAGTTGTACCAAAGAAAGTGTCTCTGGCAGAATTTGAGCTTACAACCAAGCAGTGACTTCTGTGTTACATCATCTCTGTATAGCAAACATCTTATTAAGGGCCAAATCTATGAAATGCAAGATTGCATGCACTGTCCACTTTTTTGTACCTTTGGGTGATCTCTTAAGATACAGGTGTGATCTTTACACCTTTGCATAAACCTGTATTTGGCAAGTAAGTCTTGGGCTAGCATTAAGTCATCTTCCAGCATTTCCAGAATTGGTAAGTAATGGATATTGATCAACAGTTTAATTGTATTAACCATGTCCCAAAGTATTAGTTATACAAATGGTCAACTAATCATTTATTTAACGTTATTTTGATAGTTATTTCTATTAAACAATGTATGCACAAATAACTTTGGAAGGCCATTACTCAAAATCGTGTTTATCTTGACTCTAAGATTGCTGTACTTTCACTTTCCAATAACTTAGACTAGTCTGTTTAAATCTGCAGCCAGCATTAACTCATCTTTCAACGTTCCCAGAATTGGTAAGTGATGGATAGATATATTTACAGAGGTCCTTATTACTTGGAGGCATCTTACTTTCAGACTGGAAACTGGTTGTACTAACATCGCTTCTTCAAACGCTTGTCCTTCAGCTAATGCTTTGGGATAATACACTTGCTCTTCCATCCTGCAGTTAGATGATTTCCTAAGATCCTGTGTGATCATACGGGTCTGAATTACACAACTTGCATTTGGAAAGATTTCATATATTCTCCATGTAGGTTCCCTACATATTTCTATCTGGAGCCAGCACAGCTTACCGTATCTTCTTTCAACTTCCTCAGAATTGGTAATGATGTATATTTTCTCTGTACAAAGGTCCTTATTACTTGAAGCCATCTTTACTTTCAGACTGGTAGCACCAACATCACTTCTTCAAAGTCTTAGCTAATGTTTGAGATACTTCACTTCTCTTGCTCTTCCGTTCTCCAGTTAGATGATTCTTTACAATTCACGGGTGATCCAGACGTGTGTGAACTACACAACTTTTATTTTGCTCGATTCAATTTTTCGAATCGTACATCTCCATGTAGGTTCCCCAACAAAGTTCATCCAGATAAATCAAATAGTTCTTGGTAATTGATTTGTAAACTTGACACAGGTTGGTACTTCTGTCTTCTTGGTTTTTATCCTTGACTAGTATGAGAAAATAAAGTTGGTGGGGGTTTGGCTCAATCATAGGAAACAAGTATTGAGATACTCCTGTAGATTATGTAAAATCCATAATTCATCTTAATCTGCCTAGCGGCCGTTCAAGGTCGTGAAAATTGCAGTCTCAACTACACGTCAATTTAGGTACAGATCATCAATTGAGTTATTAAATCAGTGTATATTACAAAGTCTTCATGACAATTATGAATGGAGTCATTAGTAACCACAAAAAAGACATCAAAACCTCCATGATGTGCAATCCTGAATTTCTGATGCCGTGATAGGTGCACCCACATGCTCAGTTTCTTGGCGAAACATCCTCCCCTACAATGCGAGGAATATGCATCAAAATTTACTTGTACCCTTCAACATTATAAAGTCTTCATGACAATTATAAATGGAGTCATAGGTTTAACCACAAAATACATCAGAAACCTCCATGATGTGCAATCCTGAATTTCTGATGCCGTGATAGGTGCACCCACATGCTCAGTTTCTTGGCGAAACATCCTCCCCTACAAACAATGCGAGGAATATGCATCAACATTTTCAATATTTACTCGTACCCTTTAACAGGACAGATAACTTCCAACTTAGTTAGCTGACGTGTATAATTACCATTTGCTGTTTTCAGCATTATTGCATTACACACATCTTATAAGAGACAGGTATTAGTTATACAAATGGTCAACTAATCATTTATTTAACGTTATTTTGATAGTTATTTCTATTAAACAATGTATGCACAAATAACTTTGGAAGGCCATTACTCAAAATCGTGTTTATCTTGACTCTAAGATTGCTGTACTTTCACTTTCCAATAACTTAGGATTGAAATGTCCCATTTCAATGAATAACTCCTTATTTTAAAGATTACATACTATATACGTATATGAAAATACCAATAATTCCAATTTTTGCTACAACTTAGCCATTTTGCCACACATGCCTCTTCGAGGGTTTAGATGGTCATATAGGTTGTGTCTGGATTGTACTTGCACCACCTTATGTTTAGAGTTAGACCTTCGATGTTAGTTTAGGCTAACTTTGTATAATAAATTATAAACATTAAGTTTATCTTTATACTGGTTGCAGTAGAAGTTCTACAGGAATTGAACCCAGGACCCTGGGATTGGAAGGTAATTCTTACGGTAAAGCAAGCTACAGCTGGTTGCCTGTAAACTACTTTCATAAACATCTCTTACTAGTCTGTTTAAATCTGCAGCCAGCATTAACTCATCTTTCAACGTTCCCAGATTTGGTAAGTGATGGATAGATATATTTTCAGAGGTCCTTATTACTTGGAGGCATCTTACTTTCAGACTGGAAACAGGTTGTACTAACATCACTTCTTCAAACTCTTGTCCTTCAGCTAATGCTTTGGGATAATACACTTGCTCTTCCATCCTGCAGTTAGATGATTTCCTAAGATCCATGTGTGATCATACGGGTCTGAATTACACAACTTGCATTTGGAAAGATTTCATATATTCTCCATGTAGGTTCCCTAACAAAGTTCATCCAGATTAATCTAACAGTTCTTTGAGATTAATTTGTAAACTTGACATATGCTGGTATTTCTATCTGGAGCCAGCACAACTTACCATATCTTCTTTCAACTTCCCCAGAATGGTAATGATGGATATTTTCTCTGTTTACAACGGTCCTTATTACTTGAAGCCATCTTACTTTCAGACTGTAAACTGGTAGCACCAACATCACTTCTTCAATGTCTTTAGCTAATGTGTGGGATACTTCACATCTCTTGCTCTTCTGTTCTCCAGTTAGATGATTCTTTACAAT